TCCCCAGAGTGACATTTTCCTAATCATACTCAAGTTTAAGAAAAAAAAACTGAATGGAACTTTGTAATGATCTTCATATAGCAAGAAAATACGATAAACTTGACAAAACTCGAAAAGTAACGAACGCGCGCGCGCGCGCACACACACACACACACACACAATACCATCATGCAAAAATTAAAAAAGCCAACATCACTTGAAAACCAAATTAAGGTCAAATGACCGACCTAAAAGTTTGAAGGTTCGTGGCAGCCTTGAGGGACGCCACTAACACTTGTATTAACATCTGCTTCACCTCTTAACACTTCCATTACTGGCTATGACACCATCGTGTGCTGGTAATGGTTCTATCAGATCGTAGCAGTGGTTCTATCAAGTCGTTACTGTGGTTCTATCAAGTCATTGCAGTGGTTGTATCAGTTCATTGCAGTGGTTCTATCAATTCGTTGCAGTGGTTCTATAAAGTCGTTGCAGTGGTTCTATCAAGTAGTTGTGATTCTATAGTCATTGCAGTGGTTCTATCAAGTCGTAGTAGTGGTTCTATCAAGTCGCTGCAGTGGTTCTATCAAGTCGTTGTAGTGGTTCTATCAAGTCGTTGTAGTGGTTCTATCAAGTCGTAGTAGTGGTTCTATCAAGTCGTAGTAGTGGTTCTATCAAGTCGTTGCAGTGGTTCTATAAAGTTGCAGTGGTTCTATAAAGTCATTGCAGGTGTTCTATAGTCATTGCAGTGGTTCTATCAAGTCGTTGTAGTGGTTCTATCAAGTCGTAGTAGTGGTCCTATCAAGTTGTTGCAGTGGTTCTATCAAGTCGTTGCAGTGGTTCTATCAAGTCGTTGCAGTGGTTCTATCAAGTCGTTGCAGTGGTTCTATCAAGTCGTTGCAGTGGTTCTATCAAGTCGTTGCAGTGGTTCTATCAAGTCGTTGCAGTGGTTCTATCAAGTCGCTGCAGTGGTTCTAGCAGGTTGCTGCAGTGGTTCAAGTCATTGCAGTGGTTCTATCAAGTCGCTGTAGTGGTTCTATCAAGTCGCTGCAGTGGTTCTATCAAGTCGTAGTAGTGGTCCTATCAAGTTGTTGCAGTGGTTCTATCAAGTCGTTGCAGTGGTTCTATCAAGTCGTTGCAGTGGTTCTATCAAGTCGTTGTAGTAGTTCTATCAAGTCGTAGTAGTTCTATCAAGTTGTTGCAGTGGTTCTATAAAGTCGTTGCAGTGGTTCTATCAAGTAGTTGTGATTCTATAGTCATTGCAGTGGTTCTATCAAGTCGTAGTAGTGGTTCTATCAAGTCGCTGCAGTGGTTCTATCAAGTCGTTGTAGTGGTTCTATCAAGTCGTTGCAGTGGTTCTATCAAGTCGTAGAGTGGTTCTATCAAGTCGTAGAGTGGTTCTATCAAGTCGTGCAGTGGTCACAGTTGCAGTGTTCTATCAAAGTCTGCAGTGTAAGTTGCTGCATTCAAAGTCGTGCAGTGGTTCTATAGTCCGATTGGTTCAGTTGCGTGTTCTATCAAGTCGCTTGAGTGGTTCTATCAAGTCGTGCAGTGGTTCTATCAAGTTTGTGCAGTGGTTCTATCAAGTCGTTGCAGTGGTTCTATCAAGTCGTTGCAGTGGTTCTATCAAGTCGCTGCAGTGGTTCTATCAGGTCGCTGCAGTGGTTCTATAGTCATTGCAGTGGTTCTATCAAGTCGTTGCAGTGGTTCTATCAAGTCGCTGCAGTGGTTCTATCAAGTCGCTGCAGTGGTTCTACAAGTCGCTGCAGTGGTTCCATAAGTCGCTGCAGTGGTTCATCAAGTCGCTGCAGTGGTTCTATCAAGTCGCTGCAGTGGTTCTATCAAGTCGTAGTAGTGGTCCTATCAAGTTGTTGCAGTGGTTCTATCAAGTTGTTGCAGTGGTTCTATCAAGTCGTTGCAGTGGTTCTATCAAGTCGTTGTAGTAGTTCTATCAAGTCGTAGTAGTTCTATCAAGTTGTTGCAGTGGTTCTATCAAGTCGCTGCAGTGGTTCCATCAAGTCGCTGCAGTGGTTCCATCAAGTCGCTGCAGTGGTTCCATCAAGTCGCTGCAGTGGTTCTATCAAGTCGCTGCAGTGGTTCTATCAAGTCGCTGCAGTGGTTCCATCAAGTCGCTGCAGTGGTTCCATCAAGTCGCTGTAGTGGTTCTATCAAGTCGCTGCAGTGGTTCTATCAAGTCACTGCAGTGGCGTTTTTTCCCATAGTTGCTGCGACTGAAGGCGTCTCCAAGCAATCAAATATTTTATTAAGAGTTCAATATTAATGTTCGTGTTCATAAATCAAAGTGTATACAGTATAGCACTCCATCTATACTTGTCTGATCAATTAGTTAGTGAATCAACTGTAGAGCTGAACAGAAACGAGGACGAGGGGCTTCGACCTCGGTCCGTAAACTACAGTATAATCCTTCATGTTACAGCCTAGGTACCTAACGGAGTGACTGAGTGTCTAATTTAATGGACGCGGTTGAGCTTCACGTCACTTGGTTTTTTATTCATATATCAAACAAGTTAACATCTATAATCTTATTCAGCTTACAATCATATATCTTAATAAGTATACAACAGCAATTTATTTATATATTATATATTAAGTTATAAGGTACTGTAATATATAATAAATAAGATAATAGTATAATACATATATATCATTTGATTAATATATAATGTATAAAAGTTAAAATAAATATTATGTACAGGGTTGACACCGGCACATTTACATTGATGCTATATTTTGATTTATTATCATAATTTAGATAGTGGAAACAAACACACATGTGCAACACTTGGACATTTTATTAAGATGTTTCGCCCACTGGGGGGCAAAAAGTACACTACACAACATGGAAGAATAGAGACCAGAGTGGACAAAGGTCGACTGAATAAAGTGGGTCACGTCCGGTAAGGAGCGCGAGTCACTTGCTCGTGTAGTGTGTGGCGGTTTAAGAATTAGTTTAGCGAGCACAATTAACATGCTAACCCTTCCTTAGTTCTGGGCCAGTACGAGACTGATCAAGGCAACCTTCAGATTATGTCGCTTACGCAAATCATACGCCTTTAAGACTAATCTGCCCCCTTTTGAAGTTTCAACAGGTGACCTTGTGTGTTCCGGCATCTCAGACAAGAGTTCAACAAGGTATGTTGTACACGTACTTGTGCTCTCTCTGTTCTAGACTAAAGGGCCTCTCGTCCACGTTCACCTAGTCTACCCCTAGGGGACTGACACCTGCGCTGGTTCCTGTCGACCTGGCATAAGTATCTTCTGATAAATTAGACATGTGCAACACTTGGGTGTCCTTAATGAGGAAACGTTTCGCCACACAGTGGCTTCATCAGTCCATACAAAGGAGAATGGTGAAGAACAGGAGTTTGAGGTAATCAGTCCCTCAGCCTTCAGTCTATGTGGTCAGCCCATCAATTTTGGAAAGAATACAGGATATGTGCGGAGAAGTAGCTCATATACCGTAGGCAGGAGAGGTGCAGCACATATGCTGTATTCTTTTCAAGACTGATGTACTAACCACATCGACTCAAGGCTGAAGGACTGATTACTACAAACTCCTGTTCTTCACCATTCTCCTTTGTATAGACTGATGAAGCCACTGTGTGGCGAAACGTTTCCTCATTAAAGATAACCAAGCGTTGCACATGTGTCTAATTTATCAATGTGTCGGTTCTCTGAACCATTCATCGACATAAGTATCTTCTCCCCACAGTTTGTCGGTATACAAACACCGACTTTTACCAAAATATCACCGACTACCTCTGCAATGCCCATAAACTGGAAATATAGCATCACTTGCTACCGACTGTCTTCATGCGCATCCTGTACATTCATAACCACTTTGTAGGCAAGACGCAAAAAATACACTAATATAAATCAAATGTTTCCGTAGAAGAAATCCTGAGTGCAAATTTAATTTTATAACAATTATGTTGAGAGAGTGAGGCGTGTGCCGGAGAAGACAGCCAGTATGGAAGGTACTATGATATATACAACATTCTCAATATGCAGACTATTTTTTGTTCGCCACGGGCGAAATGTTTTTCATTACCTTGAGTGTCGGTACATTTATATCAAATTCTTTCTCAATATTGAATGCGTTACCAGAATAACACCTACTGACGTTTGCTTTAAAATTAAGTTACTTGATACTTCTCAACATAAACAAATGTGTTAAAATTTCTTTAAAAAAATGTGTAGACTATTAATGTCTTTTATTTTATGATAATATGTTAAGAAAAAATAAGTGTTCATGGGGTATGTGTGAATGAGATTCATTTTAGGTGTTTGGTCGCTGTCAACAATAAAAGTAAGAGTGGGGAGAGAGAATGGGGCGGGGAGAGGGATAATGGGGCGGGGAGAGGGATAATGGGGCGGGGAGAGGGATAATGGGGTGGGGAGAGGGATAATGGGGTGGGGAGTGGAATTGGGACCGCGAGAGGAATTGAGATGGAGAAAAATCCTGTTTCTCTCCTGGTACGAGATGCCCAACTTGAATCCTTCCCTTCGTCCCCACACACTGGACGTCAGCACACACTGTCAGCAACAACACTGTCAGACTATCATTATATTCTCTTAAAAACAAGGACGAGTGAGCACGTCACTTACCGTCATAAATAAAAGTCAAGTAAGCGGATGATTGTCATAGTACAATGTCCAGTGTCTTAAGCAAACCTTAAAAAAATAGTTAACAAAAATATGGGCAAATTATCTGATTAAAATACGTAGTTTAAACTACAGTTGTACTCAGCCTAAAACAAATCCTCTATAAGAGGTTTATTGAAAATAAAATATATATTTATTTTTACAAACACACAAAATACATACAGCAACATTAACACACACATATGCACATACAATCCATAACTATATACTATATATAATTTATAATATTAATATATTTATATATTATACTATATTACATATATATATACATATATATATATATTATATATATAAAATATATATATAATATATATATATATATATTATATACACACACACACACATAGCACTGCCGGAAGACAGAACTGTTTTGTCATTAGCTATGATCCTCGCAACCGAGAAGCTAGTCACTATTAGACAGTGGTAGTGGTAGCTATTTACCTCTAAAATGAAGTATTTAAACTTAAAAGACTGAGGAGTGTGTTGATCATGGGATCAGAAATTTAGAACTATAACACTATACTAAGATTGTGTTGGTGTTTGGTGAGCGCCCAGAGAGCAGTGCATGAGAGAATGTCACCTCGTCTTGACCAGTTGGCAGTGTGCGCGAGCGTCTCGTTACCTTCCTGTCTACACACTGAACCAAACAATTCCGGTATTCTTCCCTTGATGAAGAAAGGTATACTCTTATCCTCAGCACATGTACAGTGTGTGTGAACTTCGTTTTCCGCGCTCTCAACTTTCTCATCCAGGATGGTTCTCACGTTAGAGGCCGCTATAACCTGGGCGAGCATGGACGCTGGGGTTTGTGACTGGCTTTGATAAGTTAATATAAGTTCTTGTGAAGAGGGAACACCCGCTGCCTTGACTAGTGCCTCGCCTCCAGCCAGTACCTCTCTCCAGGATTGCCTCATGTCACTGTGATGGTCCTTAGTACGACACAGCTGCAGTGTCCAGGTGACGACGGCGAAGGTGGCAGCGTTGGTAGGGAAGGCACGGAGGAGAGAAGAGTTCAGGCCCCGGAACATGACTCCCAGGCCTTCTTCAGCAATGCTAGCTTTAGTACAGTGCATGATTCCTTTGTATTTGTTGATGCCACCAACCCCGTCAGCCTGTGCCAGCGAAGGTAAAACCATCTGAGCTATTACGGTTCGTTACTTAATTCTTAAAGATACAAATATTTGAAAAATGTGAAAACTATGAGCGATTATTCCTACATGAAATTTGGGAATATACAAGTTTTTAACAAATGCAGTGGAACCCCAGGAAGGTCAGTCCTCATTGTTTAATTGGGTTGAAACTCTACTCGAAGAGAAATTAAGGACGCTTGGCACATATTCACCACCAACCAAGAATACTTTAAAACCTAAACCATCAGTGAATATAGACAGACAGACCTGTTAGTGTATATACACCCAGTCAAGTACTAAATAAATAGTTCAAGGAGTGTCAAGTGTTCTACTGCTTACCTGTAGTCTTGACTTGACAACGTCCATGGGATAACTGACAACCCAGGACAATGCTCCAGCAAAGCCACCACCAGCGAGCACTGCCAGAGGTGATATACTGTTGTCACTCGAGGCCCAGGAACGAGTTAGGTACTCGTAGATCAGGAAGTATGATGCTATACCTGGCACCTGCAAATACAAAGGCACCATCAGTATACTTTCCAACTATAACAAATTATCTTGCTTTAGAAGGACACGTAGGGAAACACTAGGACATATTTATTAGAAAACGTTCCGGTTCTGGGACCTTGATCAAGGTCCCAGAACCGAAACGTTTTCTAATAAATATGTCCTAGTGTTTGCTCAAGTGTCTTTCTAAATCAATTTGTCGGTATACATTACAAAGGTTTATATCAAATTCTCTTACAATATTTTGAAAACATTCCTATACTAAAGTAACACATACATTTCTAAAGCCTAGGTCGAAGTTAACTTTGGGAGAGACCAGAAAACCATTGACTATACAGAGCCTCACCCAGGAGACGCACAACACAGAGCCTCACCCAGCAGACGCACAACACAGAACCTCACCCAGCACACACACAATACAGAACCTCACCAGCACACACACATACAGAACCTCACCAGCACACACACAATACAGAACCCACCAGCACACACACAATACAGAGCTCACCCAGCACACACACAATACAGAACCTCACCCAGCACACACACAATACAGAACCTCACCCAGCACACACACAATACAGAACCTCACCCAGCACACACACAATACGAACCTCACCAGCACACAATACAGAACCTCACCCAGCACACACACAATACAGAACCTCACCCAGCACACACATACAATCACCAGCAACAAACAAACCTCACCCAGCACACACACAATACAGAACCTCACCCAGCACACACAATACAGAACCTCACCAGCACACACACAATACAGACCTCACCAGCACACACACATACAGAACCTCACCCAGCACACACAATACAGAACCTCACCCAGCACACACAAATACAGAACCTCACCAGCACACACACAATACAGAACCTCACCCAGCACACACACATATACAGAGCCTCACCAGCACACACACAATACAGAACCTCACCCAGCACACACAAATACAGAGCCTCACCCAGCACACACACAATACAGAACCTCACCCAGCACACACACAATACAGAACCTCACCCAGCACACACACAATACAGAACCTCACCCAGCACACACACAATACAGAACCTCACCCAGCACACACACAATACAGAACCTCACCCAGCACACACACAATACAGAACCTCACCCAGCACACACACAATACAGAACCTCACCCAGCACACACACAATACAGAACCTCACCAGCACACACAATACAGAACCTCACCAGCACACACAATACAGAACCTCACCAGCACACACACAATACAGAACCTCACCCAGCACACACACAATACAGAACCTCACCCAGCACACACACAATACAGAACCTCACCCAGCACACACACAATACAGAACCTCACCCAGCACCACACAATACAGAACCTCACCCAGCAACAACAATCAGTACTCAAGTCACAACATACGACTCACCAATGCACACAATACTGAGATCCTCACCCAGACACAAATACAGGAACTACCAGCAGCACACACAATGTGAAACTCACTGTCATAAAACAATTACAAACTCATTACTACACATTATACAGACTCACCTAGACACAACAATACAGAACTACCCGACACACACAACAGAACCTCACCCTAGCACAAACATAAGAACTACGCACACCATAAGAACCTCTCCACACACACTGGTATAATATCAGAACCTCACCAGCACACAATGACTAGTCCTACCAGCACGCAACAGATCGATGTGGCAGACCTGACGGCACGACAGATACAGTCTTACCAGCACGTAGCTGACATTCGATCTGTAACAGAGACACAGTTTTACTACAGCTCACATCGGTGACACACAATGACTGGAAGAAGCCAGCCACAGGCCACACTACAAGCTCTTGTGACCTGTCAGTGTGGTAAGGCTTGTTAAATTATTTAACTATTTCTACTGCAGAGTACAAGTTCTAAACAAAAATTGTATGCTCTACTACATAGTCAAGAATAGAAATAATCAAGTATATAATCACCAATGGAAGTGGCCTGTACTTATGCAAGGAAATGATCCCTCTTGACAATCCACTAATTCGTATTTAAAACAATTATATTAACCAAAGCTCTATATGACATTTGTGAAGTGCTACACTGAGGGGAAATTATAAAATGAGAGAAATATCAACACTGCAACATTCAATGTTGAAAAAGGATAGAGTTTCGTACCTGAAACTGGGTCATGAAGGATGTTTTACATTACGTGGACGCCGAAGACTATGGCGTAACAGGCAACGCCAGCCATAGTGTGATGAATGCCTTTAAATTCCCACGTACCTGACAGTGAAAGAAAAACTTTAATGTTCACAAACCACAAACTTAAAATGAAAACTGAAGAAGATTTTGATCCTTCAGACAATTATCAACGCGATGTTAGTTACCAATTATCTGCTAACAGTATTGTGGCTTCGTATATCTGTCTAGGAAGGTGGTATCTTGTGTATGAATATTTACCTTACACTATATTAAGTAAAAAAAAAATTATGTTTTTGACATTTTCAGCACGATTAAACAAACAAGGAAACTAATAAGACATACCGATTCTTTTTTGACGGTTTCGCTGAGACAATGCCAAGTTCCTCGGTAGCGCGGGTTCTTGAAGTCTTGGGTCTGGATCCGCACCTGATGAAAGAAAGTTTCCGAACCTTGAGATACAGAATGTAAGAGTTATTGCTTATTAAAGGTTAAGACGGAAAAAATCCGCATGGAGTGCTTGCACTTCGGAGGTCCACAAGCCAAATTAAGGAAGGAAAAATCCAAAGGTCCTTGACATCATAACCTTAGAATAAGCAGTAGTTACATTAGCGTCTAAGCCTAAATTAACTGCGTAGTGAATTTAAGATTAATAAAATACTGACCATCTTCAGTGATAAGAGAAGTTAAGGAAGAATTTATGTATTAGTATTTCAGTAATAAAACTTTAGTTGCAGATGTTTAAATGCTTCAGGAGAAGTAATTATTTTAATTTCAAATTCGGTATGTCCACTTTTTCATACAAATTCATGTGGTGTATAGACATACTTGTGGATATACACACTACAGAAACGGTAAAATTACTAAATGTATGCAAACTGACGTACTAATGAGATTTTTAGAAACTATAATATACACAGTATTGAAGAAATGTGCAAAACGAGGATTTTGAAAATCATTAGTTTATGGATCATTGAGAAGTTTGACGGTAGTACAATTATACAAGCAGAAACATAAGTGTTATATTGTGCAATTTGTTCAAATTTCACAATGTTCTGTACGTGTAACACTATATGCCAGGAAAACTTTAAAGCTAGTGCTATTGCGCGTACACTAGCACCTGTGTAAACATGCGCACGCGGAGATGAGAGCCTTTGGAACCAATGAACACTTGTTTAGGGATGGAAAATCCTGTCTTATGAACTTTATCTCTGGAGTTCTATGACAAACTCAGAGACAGCAAGAAAAATTACGCTGGGCGGACTGCACGGTCTAGGACCTCATGAAAGTATCTGACACAGTACCAGGTAGGGACTGTGTCATGAGGCACAGGTTACAAAGGCGCAGTACCTCACTTTTAACACATATCAGAAGGGATAGAGTCTTGCGTGTTACTTTTTGCCCAGGTAAAACTAATAAGAACAAAAGCAAGACAGGAGAGGATAACTCCAGCGAGAGGACAGACTGCAGATGTGTTCCATGAAGCGGTTTCCAGAATACGAAGAATCAAGTTTATGCAAGTGTAGGCGAGGTTACTAGTAAACCGAACACGGTGAGCATGGGCGGAGAAAAACAGTAAACACGATAACTAAAGGTACCTGGTTAAATATAAAACAAAACATATCGCCAGAATTACGCAAACCGTAGCATTTCGCCGGTATTTGCAAGATTAGCTAACTTCAGAACTAAGGTTTTTAGCAAACAATCCGTCAGAATTTTATTCATGACATATGTTAGGTCATTCACTATGTGACACCAGCATGACATAGGTCAGGTCATTCACCATGTGACACCAGCATGACATGTTAGGTCATTCACTGAGTATGCGACACCAGCATGACACTCGCAATTGGTTAGGCAAGCGCGAGAGCTCAAAAATATTCAGAGTTCACCGTCACATGATCTGATCAGGTGATCTCCCACGCTGCTGGCCAACACACTGCTTTCTTTTAAATAATTCATTTCAATTAACTATTTAATTGATGGGATAAAGACATATGTTAAAAGCAGGTGGGGACAGTTTTTGGAGTGGTTGGTGCTTTTATTTAACAAATGTATGGAAGAGGGCAAGGTACCTAGGGACTGGTAGAGAGCATGCATAGTTCCTTTGTATGAAGACAAAGGGGACAAAAGAGTAAAAATTATAGAGGAATAAGTCTGTTGAGTATACCTGGTAAAGTGTATGGTAGAGTTATTATTGTAGAATTATGAGTAAGACGGAAAGCAGGATAGCAAATGAACAAGGAGGCTTTAGGAAGGGTAGGGGGTGTGTAGACCAAGAGTTTACAGTTAAAATATAGGGGAACAGTATTTAGATAAGGGTAAAGAATTTTTTTGTGACATTCATGGATTTGGAAAAGGCGTATTGACAAGGTGGATAGGGGGGCAATGTGGCAGATGTTGCAAATGCATGGAATAGGAGGTAGGTTATTGAAAGCAGTGAAAAGTCTTTAAGAGGATAGTGAGGTTCAGGTTAGAGTATGTAGGACAGAGGGAGATTATTTCCCAGTAAAAGTAGGCCTTAGACAAGGATGTGTGATGTCACCGTGGTTGTTCAATATATTTATAGATGGGGTTTTAAGAGAAGTGAATGCTCCGGTGTAGAGGTCTGAGCTTTGCTCATACCTCTACAACACAATTGTCCTCAAAGATTTAAGTTATACCATGAATTAAGGAAAGATCCTGGACTTCACCTTACGAAACAAAGCAAATACGATAGTAATTATGGACAAGGTAGATGTTAGTGGAAAAATGAACATGTTATTACAAGACGGGAGAACTTACGAGCCCCATTAACTTTACACTACCTTATCCTGGGTTGTTAGCGTTACATTAACAACTGACATGATTTGGATAAAACCCCGCACAGCTGAGGGACGTCCGAACACATGTTCAAGGAAGAACACTCACACAGCAAACTAATATGGTTACACCAGCAATTAAAAACACATGCATATTAAAACCCAAAGAAGTGTGTAATCGTGCTCGGGGCATATATAGCTTATTATGCAGATACTCGCACAGTACTCCACTAGTAAAACTGGACTGTATGACCGCTGTTGCTTAGGTAACCAATTTACCGCACGCGTGTGGTAACACTGTCACGCCACGATGTCAACATTACCGAGCGCTTCCAAGAAATTTTAAATAATAAAAATATATATTTATGAGTTGGGCGGGGAGAGGGGAGGGATGATGGGAGGGGAGGGGGATGGGAGGAGGAGGAAAATGCCCAAATTTAAATAACCTGGCTATTTCTTTGGACTTTGTTGGAACATAAGAATGGTGGAGCACTACTGCAGGCCTACTGGCCCATGCAGGCAGGTGCTACACAAATCCTACCCTTCTCACACAAGACATAACATATGGATATCTTTAATACGAAACGTTCCATTGTACTCGAAATACACTAGAAACTTTTGGTTATTCGGAGCTTTAAACACATTTAGTTTCTAACTGTAGTGACCATCTCACACTTGTATTATAAAAATAATAATCACAAGCCAACTGTTTAAAAGTATATAAAAATCTATTTTTTCACATGTCCATAAAGCATCCCTTGTCATCGGCCAGGAGCGAGCAGCTTTAGACGAAAGGGAAAATATCCCAAACATTTATACCAAAAGAGATACTGGGCTCTTAAGCAAGCACACTGTGAGAAGAAGTATTCTTCCCTGAGAAGAGGACTCCCTAGCCCGAGGCACAAGACACAAGCCCGACCATTGCGCTAAGTAACCCAGCACCTGGGAGATACTGAAAAAGTTCCGGCTGTGCAGCAGACGTCTTCAGTCGAGTACAAACATTACCCTGGAGACGCTAGAAGTAATTTTGTGATCAGGCGAAAAGTAATTCACACACGTATTTCTAATCTTATTCTCCATTCATCTGGGAAGAGGAAGAGTGGTGTTACTAACCCCTTTATGCCTACAACGTCCGTCAAGTATTGTCTAACCCTGGGCTTGGAACCAGGCTAATTGGCTTTTTGAAGCATCTGTAAGTTTGAGGTCTATGCCTCTTGGGTAACTATGCCTCTCTTCACACATGGGCTCGAATTCTGCTGAGATTTGTGTGTGTGTGTGTGTCTGTGTGTGTGTGTGTCTCTGTGTGTGTGTCTCTGTGTGTCTCTGTGTGTGTCTCTGTGTGTGTGTCTGTGTGTGTGTGTGGTGTGTGTCTGTGTGTGTGTGTGTGTGTGTGTCTGTGTGTGTTGTCTGTGTGTGTGTCTGTGTGTGTGTCGTGTGTGTGTCTGTGTGTGTGTCTGTGTGTGTGTCTGTGTGTGTGTCTGTGTGTGTGTGTGTCTGTGTGTGTGTGGTCTGTATCACCTAGTTGTACTCACCTAGTTGAGGTTGCGGGGGTCGAGTCCGAGCTCCTGGCCCCGCCTCTTCCCCTGATCGCTACTAGGTCACTCTCCCTGAGCCGTGAGTCTGTGTCTGTGTGTGTGTGTCGGTGTGTGTGTGTGTGTGTCGGTGTGTGTGTGTGTCGGTGTGTGTGTGTGTCGGTGTGTGTGTGTGTGTCGGTGTGTGTGGTGTGTCGGTGTGTGTGTGTCGGTGTGTGTGTCGGTGTGTGTGTTGTACTCACTAGTTGTACTCACCTAGTTGAGGTTGCGGGGGTCGAGTCCGAGCTCCTGGCCCCGCCTCTTCACTGATCGCTACTGGGGTCACTCTCCCGAGCCGTGAGCTTTATCATACCTCTGCTTAAAGCTATGTATGGATCCTGCCTCCACTACATCGCTTCCCAACTATTCCACTTACTGACTACTCTGTGGCTGAAGAAATGCTTCCTAACATCCCTGTGATTCATCTGTGTCTTCAGCTTCCAACTGTGTCCCCTTGTTACTGTGTCCAATCTCTGGAACATCCTGTCTTTGTCCACCTTGTCAATTCCTCTCAGTATTTTGTATGTCGTTATCATGTCCCCCCTATCTCTCCTGTCCTCCAGTGTCGTCAGGTTGATTTCCTTAACCTCTCCTCGTAGGACATACCTCTTAGCTCTGGGACTAGTCTTGTTGCAAACCTTTGTGTCGGTGTGTGTGTGTGTGTGTCGGTGTGTGTGTGGTGTGTGTGTCGGTGTGTGTGTGTGTGTGTCGGTGTGTGTGTGTGTCGGTGTGTGTGTCGGTGTGTGGTGTCGTGTGTGTGTGTCGTGTGTGTGTCGGTGTGTGTGTGTGTGTGTGTGTGTGTGTGTGTGTGTGTGGTGTGTGTGTGTGTCGGTGTGTGGTGTGTCGGTGTGTGTGTGTGTCGGTTTGTGTGTGTGTGTGTCGGTGTGTGTGTGTGTGTCGGTGTGGTGTTGTGTGTCGGTGTGTGTGTGTGTGTCGGTGTGTGTGTGTGTGTCGGTGTGTGTGTGTCGGTGTGTGTGTGTCGGTGTGTGTGTGGTCGTGTGTGTGTGTGTGTGTGTGTGTGGTGTGTGTGTGTGTGTGTGTCGTGTGTGTGTCGGTGTGTGTGTGTCGGTGTGTGTGTGG